GGATGGGAGCCCAATCCAGAAAATCCCAGGGTTTGGGCTGGATTGGGAAGGCAAACAAAAAGGAAAAAATCTTAAGAGAAAGCAAATCACTACTGTACTGGTCCCAAGAAAACTACATGGACAGTTGGTAGTTATCAGGAATGTCCATGTAGTTATCAGGAATCAAGCCAAATGTTTTGATAGACACACACAGAGAGCCTTCCTCGATTAAGACATTAAAATTTATTTGGGGATTTGTTTCTCCATCCCTAGACACACCTCTTGAGAATTTCTAACGCTTATGCAATAGAAGAATGGCTTTCTGAGCCCAAATACAGCTTTGAAACAGCTTCCCACCTGAGGTCAGACTAGTCCCCAACCTGCTGTGTTTTAAACGTGCATTCAATTTTTAAGAAAGTCCAGAGAAGGGATCTAGGATAAGTCAGTATCCCATCTTGGCCTCAGGTTTTCTTTTTTTTTTTTTTTAGTAACTTTTGTTATTATTTTGGATCATTGTTTATCATATTTATATCTAGGTATGTATGTGTGCACGCATGTGATTGTATGTGGAGGTATCTTAACTTTTTTTTTTACTGTAGGAAGGCAATTTAAGCCACTTAGTGTCTGTTGGAGTGACCTATAAGCCCTACTAAATAAGGAAATGGCAGAAATCAATTTTGCCCAATCCGTTTCACTCAAGAAAACCTTTGATTCCCAGAGCAGGTTGTATTTGCCTAGAGCTGAATTGGATGTGTGAGTTCTGACCAAGTTATTCGGACAGTAATTAGGGCTCCGGACACCTTTTCATCTGGGCTCCACCCTTTGCACAAGGATGTATGGAGCTAGTCCTAACTTTGCTTCTCAGTTTGCAAGCTCAACAAACTGGTCTCTTACTCACACCTTTTAATAATGGAGTTTATACAGTCATAAAAAGAGTCCTGTTTCTTACCAAGCCAATGATACCGGAACTACCCAACTTTAAAATTCAGCTGAAGAGTTAAATTTTCTAACTATATCTTAGCAAAGAATAGGGTGACACCACATGCTTTTGTCCACAACAACAGCATGCAAAATATATTGCACCCTCCTAAAGGTTTTAGCAAAACATACACATTATTTTGGGGAAAGCATTTGATCTGTCGTTTTTAAAATAGGCAGTTACCAAAGAAAACAAGGGAAATATATCATAGTTACATATTTAAATAATAATGTCTTGTTTTAAGATGTATGTAAATACTGGTGTACACTTGAGATGGTCTGGAGACTTATTGAATAAACTGTTTAATTCCTGCAACAGGCAGAAGGAATAAACTTGAGGGACAGAAGGAAAAGCCGCTACCAAGAGAATGGTCAGATAAAAGAAACCTGAGTCTAGGGCAGAACTGTAACCCGAGTAAGCATGTCAGGCAAGATCCTCCCTAGTTCTCACAAAAATAAAGTGGAGGGGTGGGG